TTCCCTATAAATTATCTGTACTGTTTAAAATACAGAGATGCTGCTACAATTTTTACCTGTAATCACAACTTTTCCACAAATTCAATGAGCCCCTCAGATCCTCTCGTATTTTTTACGTTAGGAATCGTTTGAATTGTCTCATGCTCCAGGGTCACCTGATTTTCTTTTACACATTGATCATCAGATTTTAAATGCTATGACAAACACACACTCTAGGCAAAGGAGCCGGGTTTAAAGAGAGAGTCTTGCCTTCATCTGTGTAGTTCTTATCATAAAAAGAAGCTTTGATCAAGTTTGAATCAACACAAAGGAATTTTACCATTAATAATTTGAATCAAATTAGGTGCAGTCTAGTACAAAACAATCTGAAAAGCAATGGAGAGGAAGACAACAGTACTAGGAAATAGACACTGTCAACTTTGAAGCAAAACAGTGAGCAGTTTTTTCAGAAGGACAAAACCAAAGATTCATGCTCAACTTAAATATTTGTTGCGGTCTGCTAATAGGTTGTAACACTATTACCATTTTTGTAAATTTCCAAAGCTGGTATTTCCTTTTTAGGAAAAAGGAAAAGAAGGATTTGGATCACCACAAATTTTGTAATGCTTGTAGTATGTGCTCTAACACTTTCCATTTAACATGTAAATACAGTGTAGAGGATAAAAAAAATAAAATTTCAATTAGGAGGAATGGAAGTTTTCAGATGAAGAAATAATAAGCACCTACAGCCTCCAGATTCTGGAACTGAATTGTTTTTAGTGGAACTCATTTGATGTGAGTCAGCCCTCAGTAATATTTTCAAAATGCTGCAGGACTTCACAAAAACATTTAACTAATTGTTACTGGAGATTTGATCCAATAAAATATTTTTGCTTATTCTCTATATATAGGCTAACAGATTGTATATTCACTGTTTAGAGATATAGAAAATATCATGTATAAACACTATGCTACCTCTTTATAAATAAGTAACTTGCTGTATGGTGGCCATGGAATGGCTTTTTCCCTAAATGGAGATTTCTTTACTTTCTGCTGCAGGTAGCCAATTAAAATGAACTAATCTTCATTTCATTTTGAGAGCAATCTGTAATTTAAATTTTGAGCAATCAGTGGAAAAACCTCACTACTAATTTTATGTGGCAATATGAAAAGTTCCAGAATGATTCTGTGGCCGTATGCTCCAATGACACAGATATCCTACTTTTAATGTTGGGCACCCAAATCTATTAGTTCTGTGTACCAGATGTGTGCACAGCTTTAAGGCTAAAAGGAATCATCATTTGGTTTAGATAGTATATATTAGGTTTTGATAACTTGAGTCTTTTGGGAAAAAGGAGATTAAAAACAAATAGATTTATGCAGAAGTGCATAGAAGCTGTAAAGAAGAGTTTTACAAGAGAGAAAAGGCAGAGGGGATATCACTGATGAGTGAAAAGACAAAATAGTGACCCTGTAACTTGGTAATATTTGAAGGCTAGATCTCACCCACTGCAAATTGACACACTGGCAGTGAGCTCTGCTTTCAGATTCTTTCACTGTAACCTACCAGACTTCTTGGCCATCTTCAGCCATGAAAATATGAAATGAAAAAAATGGAATCACACTAAAGAAACATTTCTGTTCATGTATCAGAAGCCAAAGAAAATTAGATGAGAATAGGTTTTGATAACATTTCCCATCAAAGAAAAATGAAGAAATAAGGAATAAGGAGAAAATTAATTTTGAAGTAAACAATCTGAGATGGCTTAATCGGGACCACAGTTGCTGTGAAGGTGGAATATCATGTCCTGACATGATCAGCTCTGAAGCATATTCATAACTAGTTTACAACACAGATGTCATAGGGGAATTTACACATTATTTTGTGTATTCCTTGGTAATTAGCTAGACTGTGTTCACATGCTGTTTAATGACTTCTGAGACCTACCAAAAAAACCCCAACCCAAAACATGAAATAGGGCCAGAAAAAAGAAATCACCCACAGACACTCCCACCCTTTGCTGCAGAAGAAGCCATACCTCCTTTTGCTGGGCTTTAGTACCTAGCTGCACTCCCAAACAGTGGTTTATGAGGTGAGAGCTTCATGAGTCATAAGAGTAAGATTAGGAAAGCATAAAAATGATGCTGAGGGGACAGTGTTAAATAAAAGAGCAGAGAGATAGTGAAAATTTTACTAAAGAATCTGTTGGTTTATATCTTAATCTTGGAAGACATATGATTCTTCATCTTGACTGTGCAATTTCTATGGCTAATTTAATTCAGTCAGAGAGACAGGAACTATATGAATGAACAAGTCTCAGCTGAACTTTATGCGACCCAAGATTTTACCATATGTTAATTGAAAAATATCATCACATTTGCTTAATAAGATTTTTCTACAAGTCATAAAGATATGAATGTTTTATATTTCTGTTAATAGAATGAGAAAAAGGATGTATACAGGACTTACAGAAATCAGTGCAATAAAGAACTGGTGCATAAACACAACTGTGCCAAAAGCATATTAAGTCTGGACTATCCTGTACTTGCAGCCAATGTACAAGTCTATTTGTACTGCAAATGCAAAACTACATCTATTACTGAAAGTTCAAAATATGTATTAATTTATCATAATATTGAGCTCGTCTTTCAAAATAAATCTCTAATCAGATAAAATACAACTTGTGCCTTTCCCATGATTTTTAAAATCCTCTTTACAAACATTATGCTCCATTACTCAGCTTGATATATTTTCTATCACAGACCAAACCTCAGTATTGCCTTAAAGGGTATCTTTTTCAGTATTAAAAGTATTTTCTTTATTCCAACTGGTCTTTTTCTGAGTGCTACTGCTTCTTGCCACATTTGCAGTCAAAGTCCATAGTTTAGGTTTTTCTTGGTCACTAAAACTAACGAAGCAATTTTCAGATAAATATCATTCCATGCATGAGAAACTCCATCTGGTCTCCATTTGCCCACACACAGAACAACAACAGCTTTGTCCACTTCTACATTTCTGGTTCTGATACCATGCACAGTTTTTCACTTACTTAGATTAATTCACTATTGTCATCCCATTGCTTCACCTTCATTGATTTGCATCATTCAAATAGTAATGTAGTTATGATCTGTCACCAACATGTTTCTCCCACACCAGGGAGAGAGGCATGATTATCACAACATCAAAAGCGTAACATTCAATCCCTGTGGGCTGCACTGGCACTTGGTACTCTGTCTTGAGCAAATTTGTTTGCTAATCATGTTATTGCAGATGCACAAAGGTCTGTAATTGTCTGATGCCTTTACTGTTCTTGGTGAAGGGCACAATTATTCTGGGCCTTACCCTGCTCCCAGTAACCTGCACTAGTGTATAGACTGAGATGCATCAGAAGCAGATTTTGGGGGAAGCCTGTGGCCAATCCTCTCTTCTTCAAGAAGCTGCTAGGGTTCTCCAGCCCAGCCACATTCTGTACCATGAATTTTCATAAAGATAGTAAGTTGATAACAGACAAAACCCCTTCACTTTTACCCTCAACAAATTGCAATCAAATACAATTAAACACACAAGACACTAAAATGGCATGTGCATGTTTTCTTAATGCACATTTCACATCTGTCCCTATCCGACTTTATAAAAAAGTCACCTCCTACAAAAAGGGAAGACATCCACCATTTAGGGATAAAGAAAGGTCCTCATGGAAGCATTAGATTCACTTTAAATAGTTACTAAGTGCATTATTTTTCGACACTGCCTGGTGAAAATAACATCTCATCCAAGCCTTAAGATGCATTCTTGAACTACATCCATGGAATAATAGACAACATAAAGCTGAGTAGTTCCAGACTCTGAAAAGCAGGAGAAAGCTGTAAGTGCAAAAATGAACAAATGTATAAAGTGAGTTTACAGTAACTGCTGAAAAAAAGATTCCTGGGATGTGTTTTTATTAAACAAACATACATTCAATCATCAAAGAAAATCTCCAGACCAAATCAACTCCAATCATTGAACTTGGTGTGTAATGCTGTGGAAAAGGTTATAATTCAAAGATAATGCTGCAACTTTGAATCTTAGCATTAAGCTAAACCTTTTATTAAGGATGTTTTACTGTGGTCATAAGATAGTTAAAGAAAAAGGCAGAAGAATGAATGAGTCACTTGGCTGGAGAGGCACAGAAGCATTGAGGTCTGAGTGCTATTTGTTAGCTTGTCTAGCAATATAAAATAAGTTGAAAAACAAAAGTCTGTTTGCAATTTGTTTTACAGACTAAAATATTTTCCCTCTAAAATAAAGAAATCCTTGTATAAGCCTATGGCTAGTGGTCTAAACTTTCTCAGGTTTGTGAAATATCATTCTCTCATCCCACAGGAATAACAGATGGGTTGTCCTTGTACGAAATATGGTATCCACCTGCACTTCATTAGAGAGCTGCATTTTTCTACATGCTACACCACAAGATCACCATGATGACATAGCAGCTTCAGAGAACAGCGTGACTAGGGCTTTTTTTTTTTCCCTCTTGTAACAGAGGATCTGGCAGACTTTTACCTCCTGACACTGTTTAGAGCATATATTGGTCGATACAGCCTCTTATTGCATCTGCTCTGGGAATTAAGGAAAGCAGCTTCAAGGCAGTAAGGTAAGTGCTGCTGCATGTTTTAACCGTAATGTTCAGCTATTTAAATGTAGCTTCAACGGGAATGTGAAAACATGTCAGGATAAGTTTGCCAATTTGTAAATTGAGCAGAAATCAACAGTTGCTTAGTGGATTCGCTTTCTCAGTTTCCTTGAATCAACCTCACATATTTTGTACATCAGCGTTGCAATTTTTTTACAGTCTGTTTTGTTCTACTTCAGCACAATACAATACATAGAAGTTTGTAAGAGTAGTCACTGTTTACTTTTTCATTCATAATCTATTAGTAAGAGTTCCATAAACTCAATTCATTAAAATATTTTGCTTCACTCTACAAAAAGACAAAGTATCCTGATATTTAAATTATTACTCATGTAAACACCGAGAGGAAATCTGTGGGTATTTTGAAAATTTTTGTTCATTTTAAAGCACATTTTAAATATACTATTGAAACTTGTGCAAAAATTAATCTTTTGCAAACTGTCTAAGAAGCTAAGCTACAGGATTATCAGATTGACAGATAATTTTATATTTTAGATAAATTTTGTATTTATTTTGTTTCACAACAACTTTACAATTAAGGTAGTATAGACAAGGTCCAAAATAGTTTGAACAGTATTTCTGTTCTAATGTAGCAAGCATTTTTCCAAAATCATGGATTTACCATCTAGTATGTTTTGGCAAGTTGCCTGAGCAAGTTCACAAATATTTTCACAGGAATTTTACAACACAACAGCTTAGAACAAACACAGGCAATTAGTTTAAGCATGCTTATGTTGTAAGATAAACATCTAAGAATGCATTCTGATTTTATCTTTTGGATTCATGTAGTTCAGTGCAACAAACAAGCATATGTACATGATCTATTAACCTTTTACACTTCTGGCAGAGAAGCATTTAGATATCTGAACAAGAAATGAATGAATAAAACAAGTTAACTACACCATATATGTAATTTACTTTGCTATTTTATGCCATACACATGCTCATGTACCCTTAAACTACATAATCGTTGCATATATTCTGAAATATTGTAGATGAATTAATTCAAAACACTTGATATCTAACTTTTTTATTTGCTTTATTTGCAGAGCAATTAAATTTTGTACACTATTTAAAGGAATTGTCAGACTATGATATCAATTGTGAAATATAGCATTACATATATAATTTAAAACTAGAAGAACAATAGCATTTGAATTTAAAACAGGATGCCTATGCTACTTTAAGACAATAAAATTATGTAGATACATAAAAATTTCACTGTAGAGACAAAAAGTGTAGTTCAAGAGGTTAATTACACTCACTTTTATACTTTGAATACAGAAGACATTGGTCTGCCATCCTAATGTTTAGTACCTAAATTGGACTGGATTTTGAGCTGAACTGTGTTACTGCAGACTTTGCTTTCAGAGGAGCTATACTTATTTGTACCAGCAGGGGACTGAAGGTTGAGTTTGCATGCAGTAATGGGCAGACAAAGGAAATTACACTGATAACTCATATTTCAGTTACTACTTTATCCTAGAGTTTGTAATTAGGTAGATGTGATGGGACCAACAGCAAGGAAAAGACATGAAATCATATCTGTTATTCAGGGGAGAGCAGTTTAATCTATAGCAAAGGTCTTTGTGGGTTATTGAGTAAAGGTAACATGAGAATACTTTTAAAAAAATCTTTGTGTTGTACTGCATGACATCAATAGACCCTGCCTAGACGTACTTTAATTGAGATTGTTACTTGACTAGAATGTGATGTGGCATTTATCAAGTTGATAATTGCAAGGATATTCAGAATTAGGGATGACTTTTTAGATATGGCCCTGCATTTTAACACTATATACTCTGTGTAACACTAAACAATGCAAATAGCAAGACTAACTTATGCTGCTGGAAGATTGCCCAGATCTGAGATCAATGTCTGGTTGGCTGTTTACAGGCTTCACTTTGTGACATTACTTGTGAAAGAAGGGTTCAAAGGATTTTCCTAATTCTCTCATTCTCTGAACACCAGTTGAGTACATGAAGCCTTGTCTTTTACTGCTGAAAATCAAAGTAAGCTTGGTGACTTTATTGATGTTAGACCCACTTTTCCAGCAGAACATCCATCTACAGAGTAGGAAATATAAGAAAGATACTAATCTTCACAGATTAATTAGTATTTTGTGGAGTATCTGATGAGAAAGGTATGCCCTTAAAAACTAAGGTGAGACCACTCATATCCAGTCACAGCAAAACATCCCCAAGGACACTGAATGTCCTTTTGCTGTATGTGAACTGGAAGACTAACTATGTGAAGACAGTGTTTTATTTGATGGACATACTATATGAACACACCTGTTACCTAAAGAATTTGCAAGAACATTTGTACTATCTGAAATTCAGCCATTTCAGATCCACTGTAGATTCATATTTGATAGAGTATTCCTGTGCACACATATGCAGTGCTGGTTGTTTGGCATGTCCAAGAGAATATGTTTTATATTTCTATTAGTTTGTTCTTTAGGTAAATATGAAACGTAGTGGACCATGCTTTACTGAACATGATCCATGAGAAAAAACTATTTCAAGCTGCAGGCATCTTAACAACACACTATACAGCAGTTCATTGCACTCAATTTGTACCTTCCTTGTCTCTTTCAAACTTAAGCCTAATAGCCATATGTCATTTAGATATGTGGCAATGCAGTACATTAGGAATGCCTGATAGACTTCAAATGGCAGAACTGCCTCTAAACATGGTCTTTAGCAAAACTGAAAACTGTGCCAAGTTTTAAAACCTTGGACTTTATCATCTTTCTCGTGACTTAATGAATGAATGTAGAAAAATATAAAGAATGTTTTACTTACAATAGCAGAACTGCCTGAAGTTTTGCATTACAAAGGCAGATTATAACAAGACAGGGGCAGTAAGTTAATAGTAGTAGCTATGTAATGCCAACAAACCAATGTTTTTTTCTTAATTAAGAACTTTAAAGAGGAAGTCTAAATTAAGTAGTTTTTAATTATAATCTTCATGTGGTAAAATTTTAAATATTGCTGAGAGAAAAATATAAGGTCATAACTTTTTTATTCTCTTTCACCATACAGAGACAAGACACATTGGAAAGATGATCTTAAACTCCCTACTTGTCTTTCTGTTATTGATTAGTGGCATTTTTTGCCAATATGACTATGGTCCTGCAGATGATTATGGTTATGATCGCTATGGGCCATCTGCAGGAGTCTGTGCCCCAGAATGTAATTGTCCTTTAAGCTACCCTTCTGCCATGTATTGTGACAACCTTAAGCTGAAAACCATTCCAATTGTACCAAGTGGAATAAAATACCTTTATCTTCGAAACAATATGATTGAGGGAATTGAAGAGAACACGTTTGATAATGTGACAGACCTACAGTGGCTGATCCTAGATCACAACCATTTGGAAAATTCAAAAATTAAGGGAAGAGTCTTCTCTAAACTAAAGCATCTGAAGAAACTTCACATTAACTACAACAATTTGACTGAAGCTGTTGGACCACTCCCCAAAACTCTAGATGACCTGCAATTAAGTCACAACAAGATCACAAAAGTCAGTCCTGGTGCACTTGAGGGGCTGATGAATCTGACTGTCATTCATCTTCAGAACAACCAGCTAAAAGAAGATTCTATTTCAGGGGCTTTTAAAGGCCTGAATTCACTTTTGTATCTTGACTTAAGCTTCAATCAACTTACAAAGCTACCAACAGGACTGCCTCACTCCTTACTCATGCTGTATTTTGATAATAACCAGATTTCCAATATTCCTGATGAGTACTTCCAAGGTTTTAAAACCCTGCAATATTTACGTTTATCCCACAATAAATTAACAGATTCTGGAATACCAGGTAATGTCTTCAATATCACATCACTGGTTGAGCTGGATCTCTCCTTCAATCAGCTGAAAAGCATTCCAATCGTCAGTGAGAACCTTGAAAACTTCTACCTCCAAGTCAACAAAATTAACAGTGAGTTAAATTTGCACATTTTCATTAATGTTTACCACAGACTAGACACTGATGGTCAATTCAGGTATCTTAAAGGATAGATGAACTAATCTGATGAAATGGTACTTGTTAGACTCTTAGGGCTCTGACATTTCTCTGACTGTTGTCCACATGAATGTTAAAAGACAGACATTTATCTAATAGCTACTCAAAATATCCTTTTAGAGAGAAATTTCTGTTTTCATACTAATGTGGATAATATTGCTCAAATTCTCTTCTCATGTAAATTGGAGTAACTCCATAAAAGCCAACAGAGTTGACTTCTACAATTGAGGGAAAATTGAAAAATTTGATCACTGTGAAGGGTGTTCAGAATTCTTAAGTCAACAAAAAGAGAGAGCTGTGAGTATCTGACTCTGATACGAACAACCTTTCAGGAGGCTGGTAGTGAAAGTGCTGGAGGGAGGAGAGAGGGAAAAGGCAATAAATCCATAAGGTATCAGGCACGAGACATAGTGAAAAAGATACAGTGTAGATGCTTTTGTTCCTTTCCTCTCTCTCATGCAATATCCCTACAAACCTATCTTGAAATCCAGAGAGCTGCCCCTGTTCTTTCTTTTCATTCCCATTTCACATGATCAGATGGCAAGCTTGTCTTCATTTGGAGGGGAAGTTTAGGTTAGCTATTAGAAAAAAGTTTTTTACTGTAAGGGTGGTGAGAGACTGGAACGGGTTGTCCAGGGAAGTGGTGGC